AACCTCCCCCCCACCCGGACGGGAACAAGCCACCCTTTTCCGACTGAGAACCATGGCCTCAGACTTGGAGGTGCTGATCCTCACCCCAGCCGCTTCACACTCGGCTGCAAACCGCCCCAGTGCACGCTGGAGGTCCTGGTTTGATGCGGCCAACAGGACAACGTCATCTGCAAAAAGCAGAGACGAGATCCTGTGGTCCCCAAACCGGACTCCCTCTGGCCCCTGGCTGCGCCTAGAAATTCTGTCCATAAAAATAATGAACAGAACCGGTGACAAAGGGCAAGTAACTAGACTAAGACAAGTAAAAGATGCAATCGAGGGAAACAATGTTTATAAGAGACTTGGGAAGCAGCCAATGTGATCATTGCAAATCCTCTTCAGCAGTAGCTTGAATGTTTTTGTGTACAGAGTGTTCCATGTTGACACTGGACACCCCTGTTGCCATCCTATCTGCTACACTGTCATTGTTGGTTTCTTTAAGCCATGTGCAGGACACACACACATCTTGCTTCACTAGGTACTAAGTCTAAAATAAGTTGATACAATCTCTTTTCTCGCAGACTCACAACTCTGTTAACCGTTCCCTTTAAAACATCCTCTTCACAACATTCTGAACAGGCTCGTCATCACTTCAAGAAGCATCAAGTTAACTCAGGTATGTCATTGATTAACTAGTCATGTGGGTGTGGCTTCAACCACAGAACCAGAAGCCAGACCTAAACCAATCTGTCAAACTAACACTCAAGGACTTAATGCAGAATTAATCAAAGAAGAAATATAGTGCAACATATAGTTCTTTTAACCATGACCACAGTGTTTCCTTATGAAGCATTAAGTGCCTAAACCTGAACCACAGAAGTGCAGATAAAAAAAAAAAAAACTCATATGAAATGATTCTGTCAACAATCATATGACTTGGTTTAGAAGGCTCTGCTAAATGTCAAATTTTATTGTTAAGGTGTGAGATTTTATTGGGCATTTCATACTATCCATAGGGACACCAGATAAACGGTTTAGAATCATTTTAGAAGGCAAAAAAAGTTCTATTAGGCCTGAAGCCTCATTAAAGGAAGGCTGGTGGTAACCACATTTTCAATTACATAATTCAAGATTGTACCACACAGTGCGTATGAACTGAAGAGAAACATCATTCATGACAGTTACAGGACTTCCATATGAGTAGTGAAACAGCAATGACTTTACCAGAAACACAAGCATTTCTGATACCTGTTTAGTTGTCATCCTATGGCTTCTTAAGAATTTTCATAGAACACAAGTCGAAGCATACACTCATTATTATGTCTGCATATTTGAAATAAAGTAAACTATTTACCTATACAGTATTTGACACTTCATTTCTTTTAAAAATGTGTTCAAATGATGGCCTGGCATAGGGTTAATGTTACTATCACCTACCTGTTGTGTGTCTTTATCTACTAGCACCACTTCCAGTGTCTACAACAGTTACTCAACACACTGTGCATGTCTCTGTGCGTCAAGACCCTCCATACCTGTAATTGATACACAGCAGAGTGCATTCATCCTAGTGAACAAGCAGAGGAGAGAGAGAACAGACAGGCTGCTGCTGACATTAACTGAGAGCCAGCGCACAGAGGAGCCAGCGCACAGAGCAGGGACAGGAGGAGGGACAGCCTTCCTAACAAGGCTTGAAGGGGGTTGTTCCCTCTCTGGGTCACCAACACACACACGCGCACACACACACACACACATACACAGGTCAATCCCGTGCTACTTCCAGGTATGAGACAGCGGGTGTCATGATGCATTCACATCCCATGGGACAAATCTGACAGAATCATGCTGTGTTTCAAAGAAGTGTATAATTGATGTGACGTTAATGTACTACTGTTTACACTATGTTGTTTGCAGTGTAGCAATGTAAAACTTTAAATATCTTTGTAGCAGCAAAATCATCCCACTGTCCTGCAACCATACATATGAGCTGAACACTGAGTAAAGTTCCCACATAATGTATATCATTTAAATATTATAAAGTATTTGTTTGTTATGAAGCCAGTGCATGGCGTGGCTGGTCTAGGTTTAATTTAAGGGGCTGGTCGATGAGGAAATTGGTTTGTTTGGTATGTACAATGGATAGGGTGGTGATAGGATGGATATATGGTGGTTGTTGGGGACTGGCACTGCTGTGGGTCTGAGTGTCCGGTGTTGGGCTAATGGTACCATGGTCTAAGAAAGGGGTAGGATTAGACAAGTGTATACTTCTTCCTACTCCCTTTCAAGCATGTACTATTGGAATGTTGTGATGTCTTATGCGTATTGGTTGAAATGTCAAATCAATTTTGTTTTTCGCAATATCAATTTTCTTAGTTTTACATGCTTGGAAGAAACTTGAAAAAAAAAAAACGCTCCCTTGAATGCAGCAGAGCAACAGTCTGGGAAATATGGGCAGCACCTGCTGCTGCCATTAGGATTGCAGTGGGGGTGGAGTTGATGTAGAACATGGGGTTGTGACCTGTGCCTTGCTCCACAATAGGATTAACTACCTGAACACGCCCACAGCACCTGTTGCCAGGACTCTGTGTGTGTGTGTGTGTGTGTGTGTGTGTGTGTGTGTCTAGAGTGGTATTACCCATGCTGTGAGGACATAAATCTGTTTACATTGTCCCACTGTCCATTTTTGAGTGATGACTTATTTTGAGGTTAGTCTGAGGTTAGGAAGGGTTTAGGGTTAAGCAAGCAGTTACGCCCACCAGTAACAGTACTCTCAATAAAAACCCTGAAAGCAAACTGTATTTTTGGTCAGTCTCAACAGAGATCAGGTAATATGAAATATACTCAAAAATAAACCATGTCAAAAATACGCCAGGCTTCAAGTTAATACCATATGATTATTGTGTCAGTATTGCTTACTATCATGTTTTCATTACATGTCAGTGATAATTTTCTGTTTCAGATTTCAATAAAGGACCATTCTGCTGTTGTCCAACTTGATTTAACCACTTATGCAATGCTTTTCCCCCACCGTGTAACAACAGTACTGTAAAGTCTATAAAGACACTTTGGTATGAAGTCATTGGTAGGCAACACTACATACTAGGTAATATTTATTCAGTAAAGGATTTACCATTATCTGTGTAAGACAACTGCATGCCATGCTTAAACAATATTCTAGTGCACTAGACTGTAAATGTATCTTTAGGCTCCCACCTGACTGCCCATTTCAAAATGTCTTAAATGTTAGAGAGAGAAAATGTATCTGCAGCACTCAAACATTAAAACACAACGGGGACGGCTTTATCACTACAGTAGAGAACAAAATGCTATAAATGTAAGCCATATCTACAAAATAATTTCAGTAAGATCATTCTTTAAGCCAGGGTCACTTCTAATAATGTGAAAGGAATATGTAACACGCATATCTTCTTTATAACGTGTTATCTTGTTATGGATTATTATAGTTGGTGGTGACATCTGTTTTGTTTATGGGTAGGTTTTTCCTGCTTCAGGATAACAGGCACAGCTCATTTGCTTAAGACAAGGCCTGCTTCAGAGTGTGATCTGCCTTTCAACAACAAATGATTCATTACAAAAATCAAATGATCTTCTAACCATAAAAGGTGGCTGCTGGTTTGGGCATTTTGGTTATTTATGAGTGACTGATGTGGTCATGAGTGCAGTGCGTCTTGTGGTGGGGTTGGCTCCTTCAGGCAGTAACTTTATTACTGTAGTTGTGGTTTACTGGTTTGCATGCTTGGAGGAAAGTTGAGAAATTCAATCTGATATGATATGCATATGATTATGAAATAATGCTTTCATCCAGATACAGCACAGATGTACAGTAAGTGAATTTACAGATGCTCCCAAAAATGTGAATAATACTTCTGTTGACTAGTACTGTGTAAATATTCTGAACAGAATACAAGATTACAGTATCTCTAGTGCTGCAGTAA